GTTATCGTCGTCATGCTCATTTTTTAACTTTTTGATTACATTGTATACAAATTATCATCTAATACTCTACTGCTCTTACGGTCATATTGTTTATTATCACCGTCGTCGTCATCATCACACTGTCATCTTTAGAACCATTATCATCATCATTTTTTATAATAATAATCTATCATTATCATCATCATTTTTCATCACCATCCTATTCATAATCATCGTGACCAATTTTATCATCATCATTATCAACACCATTGTAATCATCATTATCACCTTTCCATCTTCTTTCTCGTCCTCATCACTCTTTTTTATCATCATCATTTTCATCATCATCATCATCACTGAAATCTTCGTCGTCATCATTGTCTTCATCATCATCATTGTAATCATCACTCTCATCATCATCATTGTAATCACCACAATAATCATCGTCGTCATTGTAATCCACACAGTCATCATCGTAATCATAATCGTCTTCATCACTTTTTTATCATCATCTACATAGCGTCACACCTCAATAATTCTCATGATTACACGACCGCCAAATGACTTTTATGCTGTCATTATTATTATTACCATTATTATTATTTCATTGTCATTATTATTATTATCGCTACTATTATTTTATTAGTACTTTTTATTAGTATTATTATTGTTGTTGTTATTGTTGTTGTTGTTATGATAGTACCATCATTATTATAATTATAATTATTTATTATTATTCTTATTGTCGTCTTCAGTTTATTTTCACCGTTATCAATTAAATCGTTTATATAATTTTTGTTCTCGTTATATTTTTAAAACTATTACGATGTGCAAAATTATAAACTCAACAGAAATAGAAGAACAAACAAATGGATGAACAAACAGAATTGGATGAACAAACAGAATTGGATGAACAATAAAATGGATGAACACACAAACAAACGTACGAACAAACCATGCGACATAAAATAGAGTAGATTTGTACAATTAGATTCTTTTGATCAATACTTTCTCCATTAATGCTCTGAACAGATAACGTGCAATAAAGAACTGCCAGACGCTCGCGCTTCGCCTTGCCTATTTTTTTACGTTTTTATTACTGAAACATGCTTCTAATTGCAGACATCAACAAAACATTAATGCTGCTGCGATATAAATATTGGGTAATTTCATTGAGGTTGAATTGGAAAAAACCTGTGTAGATTGTACAGTTTTGAAATGATTGTTCGAGATTATATATAGAGCTGTGAAACTTTCCGTAAGTTTTAGCAATAGTACTTTTAAAGACCTTTTATAAGCCAAAGATAGTTGATGCCTTGATCATTCACTATCAAAATAGGGATTGTATGTAATGAAACAGACAAAGACGTCAAAATGATGACTATCATTTGAATTTACTTGTGATCTTGCTATGTTAGTTATTGATATTTTAACCATTTCATGTTTGTCTGCGTTCCATAAAAATTACAGAAACCAAATAATACAAACAAGATTGTTTGAATCTTTCTAAATTTAGGAAATCTTTTGCTAACTAAACCACTTTGAATCAGATTCTCTTGAGTATCTTGAATAAATTGTTGGTATTTATTTTAGACCTAATGACAGACAGTTGGATTGTTACTTGAATATTTAAAAGCATTGCAGTATTACAATTGCTTATACTGAAAAAAATCAATTCAAAAACTTCTCAATAATTTTTTTGGGTTTTCAATTTCTAACAAAACAATTAAATTTTTTAACTGCCTGTTTTAATCTTGCATTAAAAATAATTTTTTTATTCATTCATCAGTTTTCGGAACTCAACATCGATAAAAAGCAAAGTCCAAAAAATCATCCCCACTATGCCTATTGGATGCCAGCAAGACTTCCAACCAACTCACAACTCGTCCATATTCAAAGGCATTATTTATGGCTGAAGATTAACTTGTGACACCATTATTGATTACAGGACGAAACGTTTCTTAATAACTGCAAGTTTCGTCCACAAATTTTTATTACACATCTCAAAAAAATTTTTTAAACAAAAGTTTTAACTGAACAAAAAATGTTCTGCAACAAAGTGCTTTTTTTAAACTAAAAAATTAGATTTATTTTCATATTTATCTTTATGTTTTCAAGTTTCATCAACAGAGCATTTTCAGGTTAGTTCTGCAGTACAAATCGACTCAAACACGAATACAAATAGCAAAAAGATTCAAAGTGATTAAATTTTCGTTTCAGAATATATCTGTATTACTTATTTATAGAGTATTTAACAGCATAAAATTAAAGTTCAACATAAAACATTCAACAATGAAACATGAATTAAACGTTTCAAGAATGTACGTTTCATACAAGTGGGATTGTTTGGCAATTCGTTCGCTGACGCATGTTCTCAAATTTGTTGGCCACTATCGTTCCACCATTCTAACTTTCAGAATTCTTTCCTATGAGAACTCTTAACGTTTGAGTAGGAAAATTTTTGATTTATTTACTTGTTTTGTTTATTAATTAATTAATTGCAAACAGTTCCATTCGTTTGTTTTGCTATATTCAAGTTTTTGTACTTCTCAATATTTTACCGGGAATTCAAGAAAAATGGTTAGTTTTTCAATTAGTTGAAATGGACTATTTAATTAGTTTTATAAATATTATTTGTTTTTAGTTGTTAAAATGGCATGGAAAAAAAACTATCAAATACTCAATCTCATTTACTTGTACAAATATTGCAAGCACACTTTAAAATATAACATGTACATTTAAAAATATAACATGCACGTACGACGACGAATCTTCCATGCACCGAACAGCGTGAATGCATCAGTGTGCACGTGGGACAGGCTGGTGTGCAGATAGGAAATGCATGTTGGGAGTTGTATTGCTTGGAACATGGCATCCAACCGGATGGTCAAATGCCCAGTGACAAGGTGACTGGCAAGTCTGACGATTCCTTCAACACTTTCTTCGCTGAAACCGGCTCAGGAAAACACGTGCCAAGAGCGGTCTTTATTGATCTAGAGCCCACTGTTGTCGGTTAGCATTAAAATTTATCGTTCTTAATAATTATATTGAGCTACTATTGACTGCCATAGTACATTTTGTAACAATTTTGCTGGTCTTAACCATTTAGTTTGTAAAAATCATTTAGTTTGATGTTTCATTAATACCAACAAATTTTCAACCAATTTTTTAAGATGAAGTTCGTCGCGGCAAGTACCGCCAGTTGTTCCATCCCGAGCAGCTGATAACAGGCAAGGAGGATGCAGCAAACAACTACGCCAGAGGTCACTACACGATCGGCAAAGAAACCATTGACCTGGTGCTTGACAGGATCAGGAAACTGGCTGACCAGTGCACAGGACTCCAAGGCTTCCTCATTTTTCACAGTTTTGGAGGGGGAACTGGTTCAGGATTCACTTCCCTTCTTATGGAAAGGTTTTTACATTTTTGTTTTTAAAAATGTATTATGTGAATAATAATGGAATAATATTTAGTTTCAAAAAATTATGTTTCAGTGAGTAAAATACATCGTGATTGGCAACTATTAATATTTACGTTTAACCATAGATTGAGTGTGGATTACGGCAAAAAGTCCAAGTTGGAGTTTAGCGTGTATCCTGCGCCGCAGATATCAACGGCAGTCGTTGAACCCTACAACTCCATTCTCACCACCCACACCACTCTGGAACATTCCGATTGCGCATTCATGGTCGACAACGAGGCCATCTACGACATCTGCAGAAAGAATTTGGACATCGAGAGGCCTTCGTACACTAATCTGAATCGCCTCATCGCTCAAGTTGTCAGTTCCATTACAGCATCTCTACGATTTGACGGAGCCCTAAATGTTGATTTGACAGAATTTCAAACAAATTTGGTACCGTATCCTCGCATTCATTTTCCATTGGCCACCTACGCTCCTGTTATTTCCGCAGAGAAAGCTTACCATGAACAGTTGACCGTCGCCGAAATAACAAATGCCTGCTTCGAACCTTCCAACCAGATGGTGAAGTGTGATCCACGTCATGGGAAGTACATGGCATGCTGCCTCCTCTATCGAGGTGATGTTGTGCCGAAAGATGTGAACGCCGCCATTGCTAGCATCAAAACAAAACGAACAATTCAATTCGTTGATTGGTGTCCCACCGGATTCAAAGTTGGCATCAACTACCAGCGTCCAACAACCATCCCTGGAGGAGACCTGGCATCTGTGCAGAGAGCAGTCTGCATGTTGAGCAACACGACTGCGGTTGCAGAGGCCTGGGCTCGTCTCGATCACAAATTTGATTTAATGTACGCCAAGAGAGCTTTCGTGCACTGGTACGTTGGCGAGGGCATGGAGGAAGGAGAGTTCTCTGAAGCTCGAGAAGACATGGCAGCTCTGGAGAAGGACTACGAAGAAGTCGGCATGGATTCGGCAAATGGAGGCGGCGACGACGATGAGGAATTTTAAAATTAAAGTATATCACTTAACGCATTGGTTGTTTTTTTTCATAATAACATATTTAGGCTACGTTGAAATTGAACATAACCGACTTATTGGTGCATTATTTGAAATAAAAGCTATTACGATCAAATTAAATTATCAGATGAATATTTATTATTATATCAGGAAGGTTGTTTGTTTCCATATTATTTTTCGGAAACATAACTAGCTTTAATTTCGCTGCCAAATTTTTCATGCATAGTTTATTTATTTGCTTGAAAATGTAATAAAATAAATTTATTCCAAAAACCAAGTTTTTCTTTCATGGAGTTCGGTTTCAAAATTACGAAACGTCTGCGGCCTTTCCAACTGAGCGTTATTTTTGAATAAATTATTAAAAAAGTTAATAAAATTAACAACGTCACTTTTTAATGTGGGCGGCGTTAAAGTTTTCAATAGTGTTTGTATGGTTGATGGATAATATTGTGAATGATTTCAAGATGATAGCATTATTATTGCGATATTTTTACCAAGTTAATTTTCGTTTCCTTGTGTTATATCATGAGGACGAGAATCTCTAGCACTGCAGCGACACATCTCAGTGTGACTGCTATTTTAGATTTTTAGATTGGTTGAATAATTTTTATAAATTTTTAGGTTTAAAACTAACAAAATGTAATAATTAGAAGATACTGAAATGTCAACCAATTTTTATTCGAATAATTTGTAAAAGTGTACAGCATTTTAACATTTTTATTACCGAACAAATTATTTCCTGTGATTTGAGTACCAGGATTGCTTATCTGTAGAAATACTTTACAAATTTCAAAATTCTAATCAACAAAATGTTTTTATCATGACTTGCAACACAAAACTTTTGTCCAACAATTCGGAAAATATGTTGCCAGATGTCTTTTTGCAATGCTGTCTTGTCATCAAACGTTGTATAAACCTAAATGAAAACTAACGAATGGTGGTATGTACGCCTAAAAATTATTTTATTTTTGAAAATTATTATTATTATTTAATAAATAATTTAATAAATAAATAGATTATAATTAATAAATTAATGGCGAGCTGAAGATTTCAATGATAAATCGACTGAAGAACAGATTTCAAATACGATAATTTAAAATATCATAACATAATGCAAATGACCAAAAAAAATTATTAATTGTTCGGAGATCATAAATGGCAAGCATAGAAAAATAATTGCATCTGTATGGTACCAATGGGAATTATTGTTCTATGCTTTCGCTTCGTCGAATGGAGCAGATGACTTTTTGCAAGAAACAAAACAAATATGAATTTTATTATATCTAACATCTTTTATTTTATGCTTTTCGAAACTATAAATTGTAAAAAGAATCAAAACACAAAATTTAAAATTTTTTGAAGAATATAATAATTTGATCACAAAAATATGGGAGAAAAACAGCCAGCCATAGCTGATTTAGTAGTAAATATGACGTCAAATAGTCAGATAATAAAAACAAATTCAAAATAAAAACCATGTATGTACAAATAAAAAGAGAGAAAAAAGAAAATATGTTTCGGCAATTGAATGAGTGGAGCGTGATTGAAATAACTGAAATCATTTTCTGCTGGAATTTGTAGGCATTAGTTTGTTTCTGTATATACGCTTGGATGTTTATAAATTTGTACACTTAAGTTTGTAAATTGTTGTTTGTATGTGTTTGTGTATTTACGATGGGTGATAAATTTGTATTGCTTGCGTCTAGTTGGTAATCAGTTTGTTCTTATACGCTCAGTCGTGATGTAACTATTTAATATTTAAGTGTATAAGTTAGTAAACCATTTTTTGGAATAGTTTGAATTTAATTTTTTGACAGAATTTTAATGTAGTTTCTGAAGAATTATGAAGGCCTAAATAGTTTGTGAAATGTTAAAATACTGATTTCAGGAAAATGGTTGTGACTGTCCACAGTTTTGTTGTGACTGGATGCGGTTGCGTTGTTTGCCAGAATTTGTTTTTACTTCATTACTTCATGCGAGTAGATACTGCTCACACATTTTCTCTCTTTCTCTCTCTCTCTCTCTCTCTCTCTCTCTCTCTCTCTCTCTCTCTCTCTCTCTCTCTCTCTCTCTCTCTTGTACACGCACACACAGCAATATATTTATTTGCACAATCCAGAGAGCGTAATTAGAGACACACAAAATTTAACCCGTACGTAATTCAATTATTTGCTCCCAATTGAATACTAGCACAATTAGACATGGAAAAAACTAATTTAAACAACTTAATTACTAATTGCCTGCAAAAGTTCACACTCGTACAATCGGACACACAGACAAAAATTAAACAATAACTCAAACATACAGGCATAGGCATACAGCAAACATCTATATAACACACACACACACACACACACACAAAAAGACATAAACACATGCACACAAACATACAAACATACATGAAATATTTGCATGCACATACAAATCGGGCAGTTATTTTATTTCGGCTAAATCGTCCTCGGAGAGAATAATGTATGTGGATTTGAATACTGTGTCAGAGAAACTCTATCACAACTACCACAGTCCACAACTACTACTACTGCTGCTGCTGCTGCTGTTGCTTCTACTACTACTACTACTACCACTGCTACGGCTATTTTTATTTATTATTAATATATCGATAATAGATATTTATTTTTGATCCTGCCTCTTACTAGTTAAACATTAGAAATAGTAGTATGACCACCGCCCAATAAATATTTATTATTTCAATATATACAAATTTAAATTAATTATACCGTTAATGAATTGCTAATAATTTGTAATTTGTTTCCACAGTTGAGTGTTTTAGACTTTATGGCAGCTCTACCATTACATTCTTACTTTCACTACTACTGTAAAAATCTCAGATATGCAAAATAAAACACTAGTTACTGCTTCTGTTGTGTCTGTTATCGATGTTGTAACGAGATGTGGGGATGTGCGTTTGGAAATTTGTTAAAATATGAGGACTCTACTTTCAAAATTGATATACTACCCTAATCCCAATAATTTTTTTATAACACAAATAAAAATGTAAAAAATTGTACTAAGAAATGATGAAGGATTTGATATATGCCGGAAAAATTGATAAAAAAATGAGCCAATAGCAACAAAAAATCAATTATAGTGAGAAAAGAAACACACAACGCAACACCTACAAAATAACTCACAAAACGAGCAATCAAGCCGGAAGCCATTTTGTAATAAATCGTTTAACGGCCATGTTTTGGCGCGAAAACAAGTTTCCGGTTCGTTCGTTCTTTCGTTCGTTCGTTTATCGTCGTCATCTTCTTCATTTTTTTGTTATATTCATGTAGAATAAAATGTGCATGGAGGAAAAGATTCATGACGGCGGATTGTTCAGAGGATGAAGATTTAAATGGCCGGATTATTGGAATGGATTGGAGAAACGTTTGACGCAGTGAAGAAGATATTTTGGGATGGAAAAAAATAATTGCAATGGAAAAAGTAACAAAAAAAAACTTCATCAACAAAATGCTAAAAACAAAAAATTGAAGTTTGGAAGTTCGAAACTACCTCAATGAACAACCGTAATTTTAAATATAACGATATGTAGTGTGTTTTCTGACTATTTTTTATGAAACTATATATTTCCATTTAATTAATTGAAAATTTGAAAAAAAAATTCTGCCTAATAAAAGTTTTTTGACAAATGAACGAACAAAAACCAAAAAACCATGTAATGAAAAAATAATTTATTAAATAAAAATTAAAAAAAACCAAAAAGTACAAAAATTGATGGAATGATTGATTGGATGATGCGTGCAATGATGAATGAATCCACATGTTTTTTTAATTACGTACATAAGCATCGTCGGTCACCATTACAAATTTCTGACACCATTATCACCATCAACACCATTAGCCTTGATATTATTATGATTTTTTCGATTATTCTAACTTGGATATTTGTTGATAATTATTTTAGACAAAAAAAGAGTTTCCATTATCATTTTTATCATTTCTATTATTATCTTTATCACCAATATCATTACTATCATAAAAACTTTTATCATCACCACCAAACACCTCTACAAAAGGTTCAGATTAAAGTAGGGCAGACAAGGAACTACCTCCCAGGAGGGGAAGGGGTCTTAACAAGAAGGGCCCTCCTTAAAAAAGATAATGTATAGTTGTAATTTTAGTATATTGTTTCGTTGTTAAAAGTTCTTTTTCTAATGAGACATTGTAATTTAAACATATTATTTCGTCCTTGAATGCTTCGCTTGTATAGAAAAAAATGGAATTAGCGAAAAAAAGAAAGAGATCAACCACTTAATGCGATGTTAATTTAATACTGACAATTTGAATAGTTGACCTGTAAATCTGGCTCTGATTATCATCATCATCATTATAATTACCATCACCGTCATCATTGTTTTCGTCATCATCATCACCTTTTATCTTTATCGCCAACATCGCCATCATCCTTTTCCTCTTCATCGTCCTCTTCTTCTTCGTTATTGGGCTAATCATTATCATCATTATTATCATCAATATTTTCCCCACCACCATCATCGCCACAGTCCTACATTGGAGGGATGGATGGATCGTTCTCCATATATTGTACAACACTTAGTTTTCATAAATCACAAACCATTGTTAATACGCATGTCCATTTATTTTCGTATTAGGGTAATGCACACACAAACACACATATACAAACTCACACAAACAAACACACACACACACACTTACACATAAAATTATGTATGCCCAGTTTTTAAACGTAACATTACACATTGAAAGTAAAAGAATTTTAGAAGCTTTGAAGATTTAGATGAATAAAATAATGATTAATCTACCTCTATCTTGAATAAACTGCTCTTCATCAATCTGTCCATCTACATTTTTTTAATTCATTCATTTGTCCATTTATCTCTATCCATCCATTCATCCAACTATCCGTCCATCCATCCATCCATCCATCCATCCATCCATCCATCCATCCATCCATCCATCCATCAATCAATCCATTCATCAATCCATCCATCCATCCATCCACTCAACAATTCGTTTTATCGGACATCAATTTATTTGGTCACCCATAACATATTTTTTATTGCTTTTGAAAAAATAAACAAGTAAAAACGTCATCATGAATTGAATTTATTTATTTATTCAATCCAATTATTAATTCATCAACCAATATTTTGCAATTCACACAAAAAGTTGTATTTAATTATTTAATAATATTTAGTCTGTTTTTTAGTAAGTTAGGTTATCATCATTCAGTTGATCACTCGTCCAATTAGAGACACTTGTTTGTATTGC